TTTTTCGTTTTTGCCCCTATTTACTCTTATTTTTCTCGACTTCTTTAAATGTATACGATTTTGCTTCGAAACGCTATGGTGCGAGAAATATATGTTATCCACATCAAATGATAGTGCCGTGTTCGAAAACAAGCCTTTCCGGAGACGTTGATTTATTTTTCATTTTTGCCCATATTTACTCTTATTTTCCTCGACTTCTTTAAATGTAAACGATTTTGCTACGAAACGCGATGGTGCGAGAAATATATATTATTCACATGAAATAATGGTACAGTGTTTGAAAACAAGCTTTTCTGGAGACGTTGATTATTTTTTCGTTTTTGCCCCTATTACTCTTATTTTCCTCGACTTCTTCGAATGTATACGAATTTGCTTCGAAACACGATGGTACAAGAAATATATGTTATCCACATCAAATAATGGTGTCGTATTCAAAAACAAGCCTTTCCGGAGAAGTTGATTATTTTTTCTTTTTGACCGTATTTATTCTTATTTTCCTCGACTTCACTAAATGTATACAATTTTGTAACAAAATGTGATGGTGCGAGAAATATATGTTATTTACATCAAATAATGGTGCCGTGTTCGAAAACAAGCCTTTCCGGGGACGTTGATTAATTTTTCCTTTTTGCCCCTATTTACTCTTATTTTCCTCGAATTCTTTAAATGTATACAATTTTGTTACGAAACGCGATGGTGCGAGAAACATATATTATTCACATCAAACAATGGTGTCGTGTTCGAAAACAATCCTTTCTGGAGACGTTGATTATATTTTCGTTTTTGCCCCTATTTACTTTTATTTTCCTCGACTTCTTTAAATGTATATGATTTTGCTTCGAAACGCGATTGTGCGAGAAATATATGTTATCCATGTAACACCCCGCTTTACTTTACAAAGTATCTTTAAAATCAGAGTTAAAATTTTGTTTTATTTTTGAAAGATTTTCCTTATTCTACAATACTTATCTTTATCTCGGGATGATACCATGTCTGAAAACTGCTTTATTATACCATAAGGTATAAAAACTCCTGCATGTCATCTTTATAGTAAATATTTGAGTTACTACACATGCATAAATTCATAATTATATTTTCTGAAAAACACAGCGGAATTAAAACATTGTTTTAACAACATGTTCAAGCTCTGTACATAAAACTTTATTCTTGAACTTATTCTGCATACTGTGACAGAACCACGATCAACCACCACCATTCCTCACGCTCCACGCCGCTCAGCATGACCTGGGGAAAGATTGGTTGTGGGGGAGTTAGCACAAATATATAACCACGGTGCTACCCATAAACCAGCACTGAATAAACAGCACATCTAATAACAAATCATGAAATTGGTATATATATATAAGAACTGAAACTGATCATAACTTCCGGACACTGTGGCCGGTACTCTTAACTCCCGGACTCTATGGTCGGTATTCTTAACTCCCGGACTCTGTGGACGGTATTCTTAACTCCTGGACTCTGTGGCCAGTAACCGTATGCATACTCTGATTAAGCCATCTGACTTAATCAGAACTTGGATGGGATATTAAGGACTCTGTGGCCTCCACCCAAGCGATAAATGAGACCTCACCTTTGTAGGTCATCGCACTATGGCGACACTCATACATACATACCTCATACATGATAAGCGATTAGAAGCAATGTAATACCCAGTACTTGGTCCCCACCTATTACTCTTGAATCTTTGTAAGTGCTTTTTATCTGATAGTTGTCAGAGACTGGCCTCCTTTCTAGCTACATAAAATTCAAGCAACTATATTGAATCTGTACTTAAACATACTCTTATTGAATTGTCTTGGCTCAGAAAATACTCAAACTTCCGATTTATCTGTTCCATAAATCTTGCACCAAAATACTTAACTCTTTCTCAACTTCTTTTTATTTGCTAAAAACATCTTATTTTATATCATACTCTTTGATATAAAATTTATAGCAAATACTAGCATATATTGTCAAATTGCTCGGTTTCTAATTTTCTCTTTAAAAATCGAATATCTCCTTACCATAGCAATTTACCTCCAAAAATCCTAAAATTCTAACTTCATGATCAACATATTATTTTTTTTATGGTTTTTGGAACCTTAAACTTCATCCTATCATGCTTATAACTCAATTTTCGAAAATATAGCTTAATTGGACTTAAATTTCGAAACTATTTTATTTTTCAAGCTCTTTTCAATATTCATCATTTAATAAACATAACATATCATGATTAAGCTAGGAAAATATTGAAATACTCATTACCTCTTTCTTGCTCTAACAATCAAAAATTGCTCCTTGACTTCCTTGGCAAAACACTCTTGATGCTCGGTTTCGACAAGATTTTTGAATTGATTTCTAATCTAATTTTTCCCACTCTTTGAATAATATATATATATATATATATATATATATATATATATAGTTTAACAACTTTATTAAATGAGTAAAGCTCTAAAAATTTGATGATTTTGAGTGAAAACCGATGGCCTTTTTATAGACTATGGAGATGAAGGAAAAATTATTTTCTTACCTACTATGAGTTGTATCATGCGTGAAGAACATGATCTGGACAATCAACCCAAATTATAGTTGTAACAACTCACAACTACTCCTAAATAATACTATAGGAATCAATCAGGTTTGCTCATTATTAAGTTAATATTTAATGGGCTATAATTAGTCATTAGGCAATAATGCAC